GATTAATTTCAAAAGTCTCTGCTATAATTTTCCGTTCGTAGTTTCCCAGATTACAGATGAACCTTATAACCAATTGTATTTCACACCAGAGGTCGTTAAGTGATTTGCAATGCATGATAACTTTTGGAATAATTAAGCTATGTCAGAGGTGTGTTAAGCCTCAGCTGACTAAGTTACACTATTTAGTTTAGGCCTGGTTCTGGGAAAAGAGTGCCCATAGCGTGTTTGCTATTAATTGTATGATTGTTATGAGCTCGCTATTCTATAACACTGGATAACTTAGAGGTGGAGAAAAAAGCGCCGAACGCGGCAGTGCTACCGTCCTAACACACTATATGCCACAAATTAATTATCCCTAACTTCCCATTTCACCCCCCTTGGGTGTCCCAAAGCTACGGTGGACAAGCGATGGAATGAACCGTACAGAAGCTCACCAAAGACCATGAGCCATTACTTAACCACCGAGAAACGAATGCAGGGAAATCACTTCGATTTATGGTAGCCCACAAAAAGCATGTTGGATATTGGAAGTTAAGTTGTGCTTCCTGTGAGATACGTAATTCACGCCGAGATGAATTATATGCTATAAAATTTTCGACTACAAACTTTACATATGAATTGTATAGAATATGATTGTAGTGCATTACTTGCTCATAGCACAATCACGTCTAACAAATTTTCCTTAAATTTATGTACAATATTGAGCAGGACACTCTTGCAAACCCTTTCTCGATCAAGATTTGAAATTTACGCAGCAGTATTTTCTAGCTTATATATTCGAAACAAAGGTACTGCCTTTAGTCTCTTATGAAGCGCGGGCACCACTATTCAGGAAGATGACTGATGTTAACTAGGCTTTCGTGATGGTTTAGGTCTTCTGAGGACAAGGTTTCAGGTACACTTCTGCATAAAGAATGTCTGACAGTACCACAGAAGCAAAACTCAATCCATTGTCTGTACTACGGAGGCTATAGTACCAGATGATCACAAATTACAAATCTTTGTGAGCATAATTGTTATGTACACTGTGAAACGATTTATTCCGAAAACCGAACTAACGGATTTCTCGATGATGGTAATAATTTTCTGGTATACAACATGGTCCCAAGCCCCGGTTTAGAGGGTGGGTTAGGCGTGGGGCTAGCATCACCACACCACAAAAGCTACCAAACTGATAGACAAACTTCAACGCATACGAAATATACTGAAATCACCAAAATTCGAAATAACAATCTTATTCTACGATGGAATCGGAGAAGCGAAATAACGCGGGATGGTGAAAGCCTCCGAGGAGCCAGTCAGCCGATGTGTCTTATCCCGATGAAGGCGAGAATTGGAATCGGGACGCCAAATTTTTGTACTATCCACAAGACTGGAGAGGCTGCCCAGGTAGCCTAAGAAATCAGAAGATGTGGCGTACAAGTGCTGGGTATTTGCGAAAGCAGATGCAATGGATGTGGACTATCAAAATTGTCAACTGGAGAGTCAGTAATCTACTCCGGTCACCCAGACGACGACCACGAGCACACTCAGGTAGTGGGTGGCTATCATGATATCACCAGTGGCAGCCAAAGCACTAATGCAGTGGGAACCAATTTCATCCAGGATCGTGACAACAGGTTTCAACTCAAAAGGAAGGTAGGTCATAATTAACCAGTGCTATGTACGGGGCTAAAAACAACAAGACAAGAAGGAAGATTTTCACAGACAAGTACAAATAGTAATGGACAACATTCCAAATGATGACATCCAAATCCTCATGGGCGATATGAATGCAAACCAAACTGGGAGCAGATAATGCAGGGAGAGAACTCATCATGGGTCGAGAGGCTCTCGCTCGGAGAAATGAATGAGAACGGAGAATTTTTCACAGACTTCTGCTCTTCCAAAGATTTTGTGATTGGAGGAAGCGTGCACAAACACAAGGACACATACAAAGCAACACGGATTTCGCCTGACGGACATACCACAAACCAAATCGATTTCATACCAATGGTCCTCAAGGAAGTAGAGACGCAGCCTGCTGGATACAAGTCGAGAGGGGGAACAGACGTTGGCTTAGACCATAATCTAGTTCAAAGAACCTTCAGGGCGAAGCCGCGAATCCTTCTGAATAATTGGAGACGGGCAGCAATTCAAGCTCGATATTCAGAAACTGAAGGACGAAACTACAAGGGATGCTTTCACTACAGATCAAATCAGAGCAAAGTCAGAGACACCACGTGCCATCACTGAGGAAACCTGTGTGGAAGAACTTTGGAACTCTCTGAAGGTGACACTCAAGGAAACGTGCACAACTGTTCTAGGAAGAAAGGAGAGACAAGACAAGCAATGGCTCTCAACGGATACCTGGGAGCTAATCGAGGAGAGAAAAATGGTGAAAGAGAAGATGACTCAATGCAGAGATGGACAACAGAAGGAGGAGCTAAGTTAAGTGCACACTGCAATGAGTAAAGAAATGAGGGATAGAGCTGGGAAAGAAAAAAGACAATCCCATGGCACGCTTACAACTGAAACAGAACAGATCACGGGTAAAATAGATCTCAGGACATTATATCATATATCCAGGTCTCTAACTGGGAAGAGATCAACGCAAGTGAAAAATATAAAAGATTTCCAAAGGAACTTAATTACTGGGGAGGAGAGACAAACAAAACAATGGGCTGATCACTTCAAAGGACTCTTAAATCGACCATCACCTGCCACTCGCCCAGAAATACACCACCGCCAACGGCACGCACGGAACTGCCTGTCAGTGGACACCAATCCACCGACGAAAGCAGAAATAATAAATGCGATCTAGCTACTGAAGTCCGGGAAGGAAGCAGGATCATACGGAATTCCACCACCCCAAAGCACTGAAAACGGACCCAGAGACTACAGCAGATGTCCTCACGCCAATATCGCAAAAGGTTTGGAAAGGTGGAAGAAAGGCTACCTCGTCAGGCTTCCAAGGAAGGGCGACTTAGGTCAGGGCAAGAGCTGGCATGGAATAGTGATCTTGTTCACACCAAGTAAAATACTGAGTCGCATCATCCTGGAGAGAATAAGGAATGCACTTGTTACAGAACTCCACCAGCCACCGAAACAAGCTGGATTCAGGAAAGGCAGGTCATGTGCTGATCAAATTGCAACTCTATGCATCGTCATCACAGAACAAAGCATAGGATGGCAGTCAAACATCTACCTCAACTTTATCGACTTCGAAAAGGCCTTTCACAACGTCGGCCGAGAAGTAATTTGGAAACCACTTGAACGCTACGGTGTAACTCAATTCTTTGTCAACCTAACTTAACAGCTATATGACAATGGCACGTATCAGGTGATTTGCAACGGAAAACTCGGCGAGGCGTTCTAAGTACGCACACGGTGTAAGACAAGCTGGCTGCCTATTATCACCGATGATATTCTTAGTTGTGGTGGACTGGATTATGCATCAGACTGTGAGGAGCGAGGAGTGAGAAATACGCTGGGCGGCCGGTAAGAAGACTCTAGAAGATCTGGATTTTGCAGATGATATTTGTCTAATACCACGCAGACCCGAAGACTTGCAGGTAGAAACCGAGAAACTAGCAGAAGAGGCTGGCAGTGAAGACAGGACTGCAGGTGAACATGGAGAAGATGGAGATGATGAAGATAACCAACGAACCTCAACAAAAACGACCAGCACCAATCACCATTAACGGGAGAGATTTGACGGAGGCTACCTCCTTTCATTATCTAGGAGGCACGGTTTCAACCACAAGCATCCGGAACGGATGAAGATGTCAAAATCAAATACAATCGGAAAGGCGGGATACGCCTTCATCAACCTGAAACCAGTTTGGAAATCTTCTACACTCAGCATAAGGAACAAGGTTCGCATAATCAACACTAATGTCAAGTAGGTCCTTCTATGCAGGCCAGAAACTTGCGCCGTGTGTCACGTAAAGGATTTCCAACAGGTTGCAAACTTTCACCAGTAGCTGCCTTCGCTCCACAATGAGGGTCAAATAGTCAGAAAGAATTAGTAACAAGAAACTCTGGCTGAAAACAAACCAACCCATAGCGGATTGCTCAACAAATATATAGGAGAAAATGGAGATGGATTGGGCATACATTGAGGAAACCGTCAAATGAAATCGTGTGCCAGGCCCTCGAGTGGAATCTCGATGGGAAGCGACGAGTGGGTCGTCCTAGGCTGACATGGAGGAGATCGCGTGAGGAGGAGACGAGAGCTTATGGACAATCGTGGACCCAGCTGAAGATGGTGGCAGAAAATAGAAGAAAGTGGAGATGTGTTGTTGAAACCCTTTGTTCCACTCGGGAACCAAGGAAATAATAATAATATAAAAATAATACAACATGGTCAGTTTTTCCAATGAATCTCTCTAAGCACCTCATAGGGTTACTGAATCAGCTCCGTGTGCATGCCTAGACATACGGCCAAGCAATCCAAAGTCAAAGGATTATGAATGAAGTGGAATTTAGAAACATTCCTTGAAATCTATTTGAACGTCCACGATTGTTATTGTTATTGTTATATCTCTTACCAGAATCCGCATATAGATGTTGAAATTTGCTGTAATTCGACACATATATTAGCATCCTAGTAACCACTTAAAACTTGTAATCAATTGAAAGAGTTCAATAAAGGCTGAAATACACCTTTTTGCCCCTGATTTTCCGATACTTTATCCTCACTACTGTCCTGGCTGTAAAAACTACCAGAGGTGGTATCGCCGCCATCTTAGTAGTGGAACATGTTGTAACAACTTACCCTTCGACGTCCTCCTCAAATATGCACTTTATGCTTAACATACTGGTTTATTTGTTTGAGTTTAGGGGATGGGGGAGAATTAAAATTCGGATGATAATTAATTGGCCTTAAAGATGTGACCTAAAATTATGACTATTAAGGTACCAAAAGAAAGCAGTTCTCATTTTAGAACATCTATTAAACATATCTTTTATCTTACAGTGAGTGAGTGCGAATTTGGAGTAAATAACTTCTCAATTGTTCATTCGACTGGTTGCCACCCTGTTTTCCTAATTGGAATAAATGTTAGTGCGTACGAAAGAGTGACTATAACTTACTTGTTAGCTGATTTTATTCGGCTGTTGGTTTTTTGAGACTTCCTAGACGCAGAATTTCCTCTCTCGTCCGTGCGATAAGATAGATACACATTGGAAAGATCAATAGGCTGTAAAAGGAGGAAAATGAATAATAATAAATTTACAACCAGTGATTAGTACATCGCCTTTTTAAGAAATGTAGTAGTGGAAAACGTGTATGAATGTATTGAAAATGATTTTTTAAAAAGTATTTAGCAGTCATTAATTAATTGTTTTGAGTAGATTGTTAAATAGTGCATAGAAAGTGGCCGCTGTAATTGTGGGCTACAATCTACTACACATTAACATTCATTGATGTTAAGCTGGTGCTTTGGTATAGTTCACCGATTTCCCGTGCGCGTCACTAAAGCATTTCCAACAGCCTACTGCAGTCTTTCATCAAAAGATGCCTACACTCAGTACTGAGGACCAGATGGCTACTCACAATGGATAAGGGATAAGGAGCTCTGGCAGCAAACCAGTCAAAAGTGTATCGCCTAACTGGAGAAAATATCCATGGGTTGGATAAACTCTGAGGAGACATTAAAATAACAACAAACATCAGAGCCTCAAGTGGAACGCGAATAGGAAGCATCGCGTTGAGGCCTGAGGGTAACATGAAGGAAACAATGTGAGTAGGAAATGACACCTGGAAGTGGTAGTAGAGGGCAAAATGTTATGGATATGCACCTCTAAGGCCGTATATTTTGTCTGCAATGCAAGGGAAGAATAATAATACATGTGGAATGACTGAAACATTAAAGTAAAGCAGTCAAACAACTAAGATTTATAAATGGTAGTCTGAAGCTGTTCTCGATATAAGCTGTTCTCAGTTGACCAGTTAGGTGACAAAACCATTCCTATGTTGTTTATTGACCTAAAACCGCTGTAAAGTTTACTACCGTTAACGTTATTGTATGTGTTCTTTATATTATTTGTTTAGTCAGTAAATCACAAGACAGAAAGTTAATCGGCTCGTTAAGATAAAGAGTGAGATAAAAGTCTTTCAATTTCCTGAATGTTTGGTTTGTGACACAATCTTAATAAAGGCCACTTAGTTTTATGCAGTAAACAGTGATTCCGTACTGGATATGAAATACTGGACTCTAAAAATGAAAGCCGTGTGCAAGGTCACCGGGTTGGTTGCATGTGAGTACAGCTGAGTGGTTTTAAAGTAAGGCATAACATTTCCCCAGTGACTCCTACTTTACAATGATTTAATGGTAAATAATACTATGTTGCCATATTCCATATCTAATAAATTAATATATTATAAAATTGTATACCAAAGTAATCCAAGTTTCATTCTTCTGTGAAACATACGTACTATTGTTTATATTTTGTAGTTTCTTAAAAGATAAAATGTTTCTGCTCCAAAATAGCTATCACTGATTGTTTAATAAAAGAGAAACTGATTATTTTGGCTAAAATGAAGTATGGCGACCCAAGCAAACGACCAATCAGTGATCTCAAACAAATCAGACATAGGTATTAGGATTATATGATACAAATTTGTGGAAAGGATTTATAGAGCGAATCCCTGACTGCTGTACAAATGTATTAATTCCAATGATCCAATGTCTTGTCATACTCCGGAACAACTGTTCACATGGACCGATAGAGCGGATATGGACGACTACTATCGATCCTTGCTATGCTCACAGCACTGTAAATCATTCTGATTTTGTCGATCTGTTGAAGAATTCTGGCTCATTTGGAAAACAGGATTCGAGTAATTAATAGGTCACGAGATGACATGACACGCAGTAATGTACAGCAATTGGTTTGGACTGACATTGATAACTTTAATGACAAACTGGAGAGCATCCTGATATGTATCCATATATATATATATATATATATATGTGTATGGTGGTCTCTCTTTCTATTGCTCTCTTAGTCTGTGACCATTTCACTTGGATGATTCTGTCTCCTTTAACAATGTATATTCCCCTTATATTCTATACAATATGAGTGTTTGTTGACAGTCCGTTGCTTGGTGACATATATCCATGTTATATGTGTGGTTGTTGACATGTCTGCTATATTTTGCTATGTATATATGGATCGACACTCCATTATAATTAGCCATTCATGTTAAGACTGTCCATTGATTTGTTCACACACTTGTCTGGACATTCATATATATTTCGCTCTCACAGTCTTGTGTGACACCTTGGTGTGATACCATTTATTGCTTCTCCTGGTGTTTTGGAAAATAGAAGTATCATCGCAAACCTAGTGGTCTTCTGATTTCCGCCTTCTTGCGTCAGGACTATTAAATTCTCGACCAGTACATAACAATAATTTGGCGACGAGTACATAACACATTCCTAGAACACATGGGAGGTTGCCACCATGTATAACTATTTTTAACTGATCAATTAGTTTGCTATAAAATTTCCTATTCAAATAAAGCCTTTTTACTATTCCGGTAATGGGATAATTTGTTTGAGGTAGTTTGGTTCGTTGTTCGCTTGGGTCATAATACTTTTGTCTGGTCATTAGTTTCACACTTCAGAGAACAGTTGTAAGTAGAACGATAAAAGTACAAGACTTACCGGTTCTGGAGCTTTCTTTTCTGGTTTTCGCATATTGTTTCCTGTGTACGCTACGCATTTCAGTTGCCACTCACCTATATCTTCATTCCATTGCACATTCTGCTGAATAAGGGCCTTGAATAAAATTAAAATCGTGAATTTCAACGAAATAGTGCTACAACACTTAATCAACCTCACTTTGTTTAGTATTTGCTCAAAGATTATTTAAAATCATTTTTTGGTCACATGATTTTATCACAAGCTGACATCGATTGGAGAACCATTAGAAAACCTGGGAGTACTAGACAGCCGTTTCGTCCTAGTTTAGGAATTTTCAGCATTAACCACCCATCGAGGATAGAACCCAGGTCTCAGTGGCTTAATGGTCTGCAAGCTCACCTTGTGACCAGAAGGTCCTGGGTTCGAACCCCATTAGATGCGTACCGCTGAAGAGACGTAGACCGAGACAAGACAGCTGTCCAATACTCCCAAATTTTCCAGTGGTCTTCTAACCAATGTCAGCTCATGATTAAATCCTGTAACCAATCGATCGAATCCCTATAAACCAATACTTGAATAAAATGATTTTATTTTGTCGTAATTTTTGGAACAATATTCAGAATACTTTATAGTCCTGATAAGTAATATTTTTGTTCAAACCAAGATACAGTAGCAATTCATGTAGTTTTCGACTCTTAGTAGTTTAAAATTCACGTCTAAAACTCATCAGATTTTGAGGATTAAGAGTTGAAGTTTCAGTGAGCTACTTCAATACATCATAATAACGTAGATGCATTCAATATTAACCACTTTGTCAACGTAGTAGAAGATTGAAAGATCACTTCATGGTTGTTTGCTCAAACCCAACTCTATATTTTGGCGGGAGTCATCGATACTCCAGTCATCGTTCCATCGTTCGCTGTTCCTTAGAAGACAGAAGTACTATCAGAAGTATTATTGTGATTTATTGTTTTGACATTTATTCTTAGAATTCGTGTACAATAACCTAATGGTTGGCTCTATATTGGTGCAAGAATAAAGGGTTCTTGAGTCACCAATCTGTGTTCTGGTTTGTCGCGTTGGTTATTGCACATAGTTCCTGAAAGTCTTCTAAGGAAAGTGTGAAGTCCAGTGTAGTTAGACCTGGACATAGTCTATGTAATTGGAGCGAAAAGTGGCAGTTATCGTTCAATCCAGCTAAATCTGGGATAACATACTTCGGACGTTGGAAACCTAGCATGTGTCTATACATGTACGGTGACCTTGTCTCAAACACAAACACAGTCACAGATCTCGGGATAACATACTCAGATCTTACCTTTACTGAACATGCAAATAAGGTGGTATCTGATTGTAAACGTCTAACCGGCTTTGTGCTACGCAACTTTTACACTCCAGAAGCCAGATTAGCCATATATAAGATATGCATTCGCCCCAAACTTGAATACTGTGCCCACTTATACAGTAGCTTCAAGTCGGCAGACAGAAAAAAGTTGAAAGTGTCCAAAGATTCCTTACGAAACGCATATTAGGCTATGGTCAGCAAATAGAATACCTTGACAGATGTATTCGACTGGACTTAGAGCCCTTATGGTTAAGGAGAGTGAAGTGCAATTTATTTCTCTTATTCAAAGTTATAAGAAAGCACTGTAACAGTAACTCGTCCATAACCTGGGCTAATCCTAAATCGTATGGACTACGCAACCACAACTACCTTCTCAAGGTTAACACCCATAAACTCACCACTAGAGCTAACTTCTTCACCATTAAATATTGCAAACTTTGGAACCAACTACCCTCTGAGATAAGATCCTGTGAAAGGCCTGACAGTTTCAAAAGGAGCCTAGAAAAACATATAAACATGTCCACCCTAGCCCGCCTCAAAGATCTCAACTGCTGGTAGAGTGGAGAGACAATGGCTTTTCAATATTTAACTACGGAAAGTACACTAGTCCCAATACCAATATAATAACACTTAGTAATTATGTAGGTTCAATACTTGAAATTCGATTGTCATTAAAATACTTAAAATGATTAAAATAGCTATGCGGCAAGTGTTCTCTTGCTTTACCATGCTTGTTTCCCTTATAACACTCAGTTATTGAGCCTAATGTATTCTTTGATAATACGAATTATGACACTGACTATGCTCTTATTATACATAGATTGATTTACTTTACGACTACCTGTAGTACTAACTACCCTTCTGTAGTATTGTTAAACAAATGCTGAAATTTTGTTGGTTCTGTTAATATCTTTTTATAATATGTTTAGACACGTTACTTTGCAATGTCAGATGTCTACTATATACAAGACTGTCATGATAATTTAGTACACTAAGTCCTGCCAACCGACCTTACCTTCAGTTCATACTACCTACATTGATCCCTAACTATATTGTTCTGCTGAATCTTGCTTCACTATTCACAAAACCTATTCTTTTTATTCTTTAAGGTTCTAACTTCTTGTAAAGTAATCTGTTCATTAGGACGCATGCATACATATATAATGTTCATAAAGATGTACGCGGAGACCTATTGGAAGCACTCATTAAGAAAGCTAGGGAGATGGAATATGAGGTACGAACATGTCTGGTACCAAGCAATATATTTGCGGTAGCCATAATAATCATAGTCTCAGAGCTTAACATCAAAAAAGGAGGGAGGGTGGCGTTAGCTGATCAGTAGATATGGTGGGGGTCACTAAGGTGAATCGCCCCATTCTGCAGGAACAGCAATACACAAATTAAAGGCTCGAGATATTTCTGATTTTTATGAGGGCTTAGATCTTTATCTTGAAAAAGATAATAATGAACGCCTTGACAGATCATGCTTCTACCTTTAAATATATACTATTCGCCCAGCCTATTGTTGAGATGCGACCATGTGGGATGTGCACAGTTTTATGGGGCATCTTATAAACTAACTTGCTGTCCATTGACTGATCTTTAAATACCACTTCACAATGTCTTATCTCATTCATTTTCCAATAACGTCTTTACTTGATCCTCATTATATTCCATTAAACCTAACATTTTACAGCTCTTTATGACTTATTATATTCCTACTCTCTGAAGGGTACGGTTGTACATTAAATGCACAAAAAGGTATAAAACAAAAACAACTGGCACAACTGAGGATAAATGTATTAAAACCAAAATGGGAATCATGATAGTACGAGGTATGCGTGTAGCATTATACATTGCAAATGAACGTTGTCAGCCTAGGGAGTTTTCTTTTTTTAATGCATTTATTAATGATACTTGCACTTACCTATTTCATTACAATTTAATGATTCACCTCAGCACTTTTACTTTTCTAAAACAGCTTTCAATCCCTTGTAAACGTTGTACTTACCTCAATATTGGTTGGTTATCGTATGCCGACAACCACGGGATGAAAACGAAACGAAGTCGATTTTCCCGCTCAACCTGGAGGACAATTGTACAATTCAATAACTATACAGCCTAGTTCAGACAATGTGTATTTATATATATATCAAATATTTAACTGTTGAAACATTATTAACTTGTAGACAATCTACGATTTGATATTATATCATACTTGATCGTGCCTGTAAAAATGGCATGCATTTTCATGTAAATTTATATGTTTATATGAGAATATACATTGTTAGTATTATTATTATTTGGCAACTTTCAGAAATTATGCATTCGCCAATATTTGTTCAATTATTTCGCCTACATTTGTACCCATTTATCTTTGCTTTACTATCGTCGCATATTTGTTGACTTGTATTCTGGACTCTATAAAATTGTGACAACGTAAACCAATATAATTTTGTGCAGATGTTTACAATGATATATGTTTGTATCACCACCTACCTAAACTAGAACCTGCAGTTGGAAAGAATAAAGTTGACTTAAATCTCAACTACGATTGAAAAGACACATTGTGGTACTTTATTCCTCAGGAGGAGGGAAATATTTACTACCTTTAAAGAAAGTGGGTACCCTTACAATTTTATCGAAAGTGTCTAAACTCAAATCAAGCTACCAGCATGAAACCATCTTCATAATCATTAAAAAATTCATCTTAAAATATATATCAAGATTGTTTCTGAAATAACGGTTATAATACTAGAACCATTCACACAAATCAGCAGAGTCACTTCATTCAGTATCATGCAAACCAAAGACCCAACAAAAAATAAGACAAGATCAACACAATCTGCAAGATAAGTTACATGAACTGTAAAAATGAAAGTTTTGCAATTAAACCACCCAGAGCAAAGAGCTCAACCACATCAAAATAATACAGCTAAGCCACAAATCTCTATTATTTCAGTTTTGCTAATCAACATATGGAATCGCCAGTTTTGAAGTTGGAAGTCGGTAAACACGAGTGATAAAATTCAGTCAACACCAGCACTAAAGACCAGAAACATGATATTGGTTACTACTTTAATGATCAATGATTGCATTCATTCTGCATGAGCCACAGTAGCTCAATGGTAACGTCTCCGACTACAGCAATGAGCGATATTGATATCAACTACGGGGAAGTTGCAGGTAAGCCCTGTTGACGTCAGCCAACAAGCAACAGGCCTATATCCAAGACTTCTTACCAGCTGCCTCCAACCACCTAACATTCACTGCATACTAGGCAATAAGAATGTCTGATAAAACACACCTACGAAGTACCACAGGACCCTGCACATACGTGTATCAGTTCACGTTATTAAACGGCAAAGCATTACAAGCAGGAGAAGTACTCACTAATCAAATTTGTATAGGGAAGCATCTTTTTAAAAATTCCGTACATTTTGTTTCCTTGATAAATTTCGATAGAGAAAGACCAGATTTGCAGTATAAAGTGATATCATTCTATTTCACAGGTTCTCATCAGCTGCAAACTACCTGAAATTACAATGCTTATAAATAGTAACATTTCATACTTCAATGTTTGAAAGTTAATAGTGAAAACATTGTAAGATGAACGCATCCGGAATATAAGTATTACAATTTTTAGTTTAAGTTACCATGAATTTATATACTATCAAACTATGAAAGGAAAAAGGCGGGGTGAGAGACCTGGACCTAAATGTAAAACGAAGAAACGATGTAACGGTCGAAAAGTCGATCTACAGAAAAGAAACCTAGACTGGACAATACCTTCACTACAACAGCTTCTGCCCTAAAAGCTATAAGCTACGATTACTAGGGACACTTTACGACAGGGCCAGGAAGTTATGTTCGCCTAACAAGGTAGAAGGAGAATTAGGCTTTGTTGAAAAATGCCTTAAGGGAAATGGGTATCCAAAAGCATTTATCCTAAAGTACAGCAAAGAAAGAGATGAGAAAGAGAAGTCTCCAACAGTTGAGAAGAAGAAAGTGTTCATTTGCCTCCCATACAAAGGAGAAACAGTATCGCAGAAGATTGAAAAGAGGATGAAAGGAGCAATAAAGAGATGCTTCCCTGCAGCCAAGCTGGTGACACTATACAGCACTACATGCTCTATAAGCCAATCAAAACTGGATAAGTGTCCTGCTGATGTTACCTCCAACTGCATTTATAAATTTACGTGCACCTGCGGCAGCAAGTACATTGGAAGGGCAGAAAGAAGGGCTTCTATCCGGTTTTCAGAGCATATTCCGAGAAACTTATGCCTAAAAGGAAGCAGATATTTACAAAGTGTAATTACCAGACACCTTGTGGATACGGGTCATTTTGTCGAGATTTCCGAATCCTTAAAAATATTAAACATACAAAGGTAAGTGAATCTACTACGATTTGCTGAAGCAATTGCAATCAAACGTCTCAAACGAAACTTATGCACACAGAAAGAGAGTGTAGTCAATCTCTCACTCCCTAGGTAACAGTCTCACTTTCATTACGCTGATTAGTCATACACACTAATGAGCTCAGCTTACTAAGCAAGTTTTCACCTTGATGAACTTTAACCTTGTTGAGTTGCCCTATTGACGTACACGCTAACACTGTTTATTAGATTTTTCTATTTTCTCTCACCCCCCTTTTTTCTTTCATAGTTTGATAGTATATAAATTCATGGTAACTTAAACTAAAAATTGTAATACTTATATTCCGGATGCGTTCATCTTACAATGTTTTCACTATTAACTTTCAAACATTGAAGTATGAAATGTTACTATTTATAAGCATTGTAATTTCAGGTAGTTTGCAGCTGATGAGAACCTGTGAAATGGAATGATATCATTTCATATTGCAAATTTGGTCTTTTTTTCTCTATCCAAATCTGTATAGTTTGATTAAGACAAAGACCTGTGACTTTTTATTGTCGGAAGTGATAATCAGTATTTTATAGCAACTTGAGAAAAGAATCACTGGTACCTTTTAGTTTTCTTTTGCGAGTTGCTTCTTCTTTATGGTAAAACAATCCAAATATTTTGGACTTCAAAGAAATTTGGATTTTTGAATGGCTATTCGTTTAGTAGTGGTTTTTTAAATATAAAACATATTCAATGTGTGAACAAGGTATGTGTGATTAAAACAGGTGACTGTTAAGAGACACCATGAAGTCTTTAACTCTTGTTTTGAGTCATGTGAGTAGCTGCAGACCACATGGCTACGGATATCTAGAGGTCAGAAACGAATGGTTGAGGACTGTTGCTGATATGCCTCAAAATCGTTCTCAGTGTTTCAATCCTGGTTATCATCCATTTAAGCCTACATGCTTCCTCCTTTACATTTCCACTTCGTATAGTTTTTCTGGATTTCATTTTCTTTCTAACTTTACGTATACTTTATGAAATGTGACAACTTGAACGGATGCATTTAGGAGACACAAAAAACTTAAGTCTTCAATTTAACTCAAAAATAATCGTTGCTATTATAATGACATACTATGAATATAAATAAATTCCAGTCTTTAAATGTAGACTTGATGTTTGGAAAAGTGCATAACTCTCTTGACAAAAATGATACTAATATGAGAGCATTGAAAGCGTCTACAAATATGCACCAAAACACAAATCTAATCTCTAATAACCGCTTGCAAATTACTTGATATGGTTGTGGAATAAATCTGTCAATAATCAATGTGTGGTGTGCTAATTCTCTACTAAGTTGGCGTATATTATCCAGTAAACCTTCCATTTCACGAGTATGTTCATTCTTTAGATCTTCCAGTTCAGATTTTGCTTGCAGATACATTGTGCTTAGTTTACGCAGTTTTCTACGCTTTCCAGCAGCTTCTTCCTGAAGAAATAAATAAATATGGAGACTTTTATAAAAATAATAAATAGAGGGAGAAATCAAAAGTATCTATAATCAAATCATATTCGTTATAAGCTAACTATACAAATGGAAGTAGATTCTCACCATGGTTGTTTCCCTTAGAAACACAAAATATTCTGATTGCACAGAATTTGCGATCATGAATAAAGCAAAATGACAACGGTTTGTACAGAATAAGATGATGTCACTGTTTAATTCGTCAATTTCCCTTCAGCTAAATACAACCTACAAAATATTTATTAAGCGCATGTACACAGAGCATTTTTTAACATAATTCGAAAGGTAACATAGTGTAAGTTAACAGGAGAGATTCAAAAAGTGGTGCTCAAAAGAAGTGCTCAGAAGTTACACTTATGTAATTCATACACAACGGGTTCAAGTTCAAACAAATAGAATGCTTGAATACTTTGAATAGAAGGCTGCATAATAAAGACAAGAAGTGGACAAGCTGATTATAAGGACATAGCTTAGACTGTTTGAACATGTACCAGAAATTCTACGTCTCGAAAGGTTCCAGTCATGCAATCTTCAGGTATCTCCTTGATACGAGTCATATGGTGGACATTCTGAGATCCTTAATGGTTATCAATAGACAATATAATTCATTTTTCTCAAGTTCCTCGAAGCAGTAGCTATCAAACGTCTAAAATCTGATTTCTGTGTGTTAGTAAAAATGCAGTTATTAGTTTTTCCTTACTCTGGTAACTCGATTTTTTAACTCTTGCTTTGATTGTATTACCTAATCTTTCCCCTTAATTTCTTTCCTCTAGGTATATATATATATATGTATACATGATTATCTCTTTCTGTGAATACACTGTTACTTTCCATCTTGTCTTTTGCAAGCTGTGGCTTAATTGGTGGCCTGGGAGATCGGTTAGGTGTTGTGCAGTTTATTGGTGTAGACAAGCAATGGTCAGCGTGTCTGTGTCTATCTGGGCGTCCTTATTTCAACTCAACGTTTTGCAAAATACAATACTTACACACAACAGACCCAGACGGTAGTCGGTTCACTGCAACCACCAGATATCTTGTGAATGAATGATGCATGACTGTCCATTTATCATCATACTAGCTGTTCAGCTACCTATGATGACTGAATTGTAATGATGGCAAGATTAACAGTTAGGTACTATAAGTCAACCGACGAAGCGCCAGAATAATAATTCAGAGGTCAGTGATTTGAATCCTGAAACTATTCAGATCCTCATCTCACCTTTAGTCAACACTCATTACATAAATATGATTTTCTAGTTTAGAAGATTTACGGGATATGATAGACTGTAAACTGTTGTGCCTTCGACAACTGGTTTTTCAACAACAGAAATGGACTAAAGATTCTCAAGTCTACTTCGACTGTGAAGGCTTTTTAAACTTATGTAGCTAATAAAATAAATATGTATTTCACATTCTGGCAGGACGTGAAATCTATGTGACTCCTGGAATACAGCATCTTTTTTGAACAGCATACATGATAATCAGTCAGTGAATACGCTAACCTTATATGGAAACAATATGAGCTCGAATGCTTCAGACAGGTATTACATGTTCACCGATCTCCTATAATAATAATTATCATTATTATTGAATGTATTGAATAAAACTGTTTTGTTTTTAGATGGACAATAAGCTTTCGAATATGTTATACTTTCATTTTCTCACCCTTATTGGAAGTATTATCGTCAATTTGACATGTTGTATCTTTCCAGAGTGTATTTTGGCTTCCACAATTATTGGATTACGCCTAGGAGACAGGCATTCATCTATGCTGGGAAGTAGTAAAACTATCGTCCTCGTCAAAATTCATTTCACTAATCACAGGTTTCTTATAACCCAATTTTCCTAATCAGTCTAAGTACTTGTGAAGTTGTGTTGACTGAGGGGGTTAGCAGATATGTTAAGCAGGTCAGGCCACCACTTCTCTTGTCGAAGAATGTTAGCTGATTTGGAATTACACTGAGAAAGAGTTGCGGGTGGTCAAATCAAAACATGGAATTATTTTATGAAGATTTTGACCGTTAATTTGGGTCATGTAGGGAACCTAAGACTGTTTGTTTGGGGTCCTCAAGGTGCTACAAACTGATGAGTGGAGACTGTTGGTGACACAAGTCAAAATCGCTGTTACTGGCACAAAGGTATTCACACATCCTCAAATCCTCATTATTTTCCATGTACCTGTGATTCTACCCCACATATTTCCGTTTATTTATGTTTGGTTGCATTTCTTCGCTTTTCTCTGTTCCTATGTGTGCTTTGTGAAGAATGGCGACTTGATGTGCTTCAGAACTGTGTGCAGTCTAAAGCCACGACAGAGTCTTCACTAGGCTATACGCATCTAGCCCAATAGCAGTAATGAAATGTGCTGGTATTTTGTCATCCCGAACATTCTTTGACGTGCACCACGCATCGAAGCATTCAAGATAATCAGCAATCTCCCGCGGAGAACCACTCATAGGAAATTTTCCCAGGTTATTTAGTTCCATTGCGACGCCAATTTGTAGTAATTTATTGTGATCGTAGTATTAGTATTTCGAGATGACCGAATTACAAGAATCCAAGCAAAACACAGAGAGGGCGGAATTCAGGAATTTGCATTTAGCGAAATTATATTTCAATTCATATAAGAAATATTAACAGTCAACAGTAAGTATTTAAACAATACAGTGATAGATATTGTGAATCACCACACAGGAGTAGAGGAAAGTATTTTTATATGAATATATCTCAGAAAAGGTGAAGTTGAAATATCTGTTTTCTTGTTTACGTCGTTCACCCCCAATAAATATTTATGCATATATTATAAAGCAGGACACTGCCTTCATAACTGTCAGTTATGAAGCGACGATCTGAAATTACACACTTATTACTGTAACTCAAGTTCCCCTGCGTGTGATACCAAAATCTATAAAACGAAACATATTTGAATTTTCATCAACAGAGAGATTCATAATAGAGACTTAGTATGAATCTCGAGAGTAGAGGAGGCTTTAGGGACCACTGTCGAAAAATGAGCTTAGAACATTAAGATTACACCGCATTATATTATTCACCACCTATCATGCTCTCAAGAGTATCCATTTTATGAGGTTTTGTTATGCCAAAGTTCTGTGCCATTAAATGCACGAGTTCACACGTGTTGAAAAGAATGGGGATAATACGAGAAATTAGCTGGTTAAATTGATCTATTTAGGTGTGAAACCCTAACGGCTATCCAAACGTGCTTGGAATATTTGAGGAGGGTAGTAGCCATGCGTAACCTTGACTTGCTGTCATTTAATACATGGAAGTTGTGAGTGTTTCTATTTCAGAAGAGAAAATAGAGAATTTGGCTGGGTGACTAAGTGCTTCACCTTCACGGTCTTTTAAATTTAGTTGATTATAGCAGACAACTCAGTGAGATGCATCATTGCAGAGATTCCGCACTGCGGCGATCTTGGGTGATGAAGGACTTATATTAATTGTTATAAAATTTGCAGATTAATTTCAAAAGTCTCTGCTATAATTTTCCGTTCGTAGTTTCCCAGATTACAGATGAACCTTATAACCAATTGTATTTCACACCAGAGGTCGTTAAGTGATTTGCAATGCATGATAACTTTTGGAATAATTAAGCTATGTCAGAGGTGTGTTAAGCCTCAGCTGACTAAGTTACACTATTTAGTTTAGGCCTGGTTCTGGGAAAAGAGTGCCCATAGCGTGTTTGCTATTAATTGTATGATTGTTATGAGCTCGCTATTCTATAACACTGGATAACTTAGAGGTGGAGAAAAAAGCGCCGAACGCGGCAGTGCTACCGTCCTAACACACTATATGCCACAAATTAACTATCACCAACTTCCCATTTCACCACCCTTGGGTGTGCCATCCTGAAGTATTTCTATGTCTGAATGACAGAATTATTATTCCTCCAACATTAAAATCTGCGATTTTGGATGATCTTCTTTCTGCTCATCAAGGAGCTGATAAGATGAAATCGTTAGCACGCCCAACATGCTGGTGGCCGGAAATTGATTCTGACATTAACCAAAGATCAAAGAGCTGTTCTAGCTGTTTACATAAAATGTCCTACTGTAAGTCATCGTGGACACCGTGGCCTGCATCTTGTGAGGTTTGGCAGCGTATTCATGCAGATTACTGTGGTCCATTCTTAAATTCGTATTATTCTAGATGGCCAGAAGTCATCATTGCAGATAGTCCTAATGCCAAATTCACTCAGAGAGCGTTGCGAAAGATTTTTAGTCGAAAAGGAATTCCAGATGTCTTAGTGACTGACAATGGTACTCATTTTGCGGGGAAGAACTTCAATGATTGGCTCAAACATATAGGTTGTCGTCATTTGTACACAGCACCACGTCATCCTCAGTCAAATGGGTTGGCAGAAAATTTTGTACGAACGTTAAAGAGTGCTATAGCATCAATGAGTTCTCAAAATCTTGATGAGCTAGAGAGATGTGTGGATAACTTCTTACTTCAATATCGCAATGCGGAGCATACAAGTACCCGTGAAAGTCCTGCAAAACTATTCAAATCTCGAATTCTCAGAAAGCATCTGATGTCCACGACTTCTAATGTACATTATTACAGGGGGAATGATTATAGACCTTCTCTTGGTATCATACTACAAAGAATGGGAAATCGAATGGTGAAGATATTAGACATTGAAGATAATTCAGTTCATAACAGACACTTGGATCAAGTGAGAATAAATGAGGTAGGTCGTTCCGATTATGATTATAATGACTCCGCTACTAATCCTGACTTTGTAGATAATTCAGAAATAAGTCTAGATGATACTGATGGAAATGATATCACAGAATCAGTTAGAAGATCGCAGAGACTGGCAAGCAAACCGCGATATCATTATAAATACGCAAGCAGACATTCGACATGTGGCGGATGTGGTGATTGACTATTTCTATCTCTGTATTGTTTAAATACTTACTGTTGATTGTTAATATTTCTTATATGAATTGAAATATAATTCCGCTAAATGCAAATTCCTGAACTCCGCCCTCTCTGTGTTTTGTTTGGATTCTTGTAATTCGGTCATCTCGAAATACTAATACTACAATTACA